CTGACGGTCCACGGGAGGCCCTGCCGCACACGCTGTGGGATAACCCCTCTCGCACGATAGCACCGTTTAGGCGTAAAAACTGGCCACGTTTCTACGGACAGTCCTCAGCCTATCAACGAATAGTGGCCGCAACGTATAACAAAAAGAAAAATTCCCTTTTCTCAGTAGAAAAAAACGTCACCTTCACACTCGCAATTGCCACCAATGAATTCATTGCGTAATACCGCTCTGAGCTGCAATACTTCCTGGCATCATCCAGCTCCCTTGTCGACACATTGACGCGGGTGGGCGCCCATCCATTCCTCCCAACGACGATGCATGTCTGCAACGTACCCTCTGCTCCAAAAGGACACTTCCCTCACCTCAGCCGGGATCGACCTCGCGCTGGCGGCACGCACCGCTTTGTCAATGGAGCAGGAATACGTCAGGGTGGCAGCAAAGCACCCGCATGCACAACACATCACAGGCATCATCACAAGCAGAAGCACTGGAGGCCGCAGGGTGACGTGGACCAACTGACGCACGGCATACGTATAAAAAACTTATTGGCTTCACAAGGATACAAAACACTCACACTCTCCTCGTAAAAAATAAAAGAAAATAATAAATTCATGCGTCCGCAGTCAACGCATGCCGCAAATCAAAAAAAGCAGAATGGGTGCACTCAACCACAACACAAGTAAAACATGAAAAACAATAAAGAAAAAGCCGAAGCGTGGGACGACCAGCGCACACACTCTCATTGCTCCCGTAAAGCAAAACACACACACAGGGAGAGAGAGAGAGAGAGAGGTCGCCCACTCAATGCAATAAAAACAAAACAGAAACAGTTACGGTGCTCCGCCCATGCAGCCAGGCAGGACGGCAGCGGTGCGTGTCGTGCAAAAGAGAGCACCAACGGGCCTGCATGGGTGTGCATGCAATATATACAATGGGCACATTATGTGTGTGCTTCGTGGGATGAGGTGAGGGCGAGAGTCCATGCAAGGGGACGCACACAGAGAGTGGGTGAAAGACGAGTGTGTGTGCGGGCGGTGCACGGCTCTCTCTCACTCACTCTCACGCGGCCACCACCGCAGCCGCACACACAACAACAAGAAGAAGAAGCAAAAGAGGGGAGGTGGTGTGGGAGACAGCGGTGCTGCCGTCACTGTCGCCAGTTGAAGCGGTGGCATTTGTACCAACGGCAGTTTCGTTTTTTGTGGGTTCTTCGCTGTTTTTCGCGTAATTTTCATGCTGTTGATGTTGTTTTTCCTCTTGTTCTTTTTCTTGTTTTATGCTCTCTTCGTGCTCTTCTTCCTGCTGTTCCTGTTTTTTTTGCTGATCTCGTATTTCTTCTTGTAGATGTTCTCCTTCCCGTTCCTCTTCGTGTAGATGCTCTTGATTTTGTCCAGACTGGTGTTCGACTGAATTATCGTGATTTTGGGGTGCTTTTTTTGCTTCATCTTCACCGACTGTTGTAACTCGCAATGCTTCGTTTTCTGTTTCTAAAAGAGGAGGAGGAGCAGGCTCATTTTTACCTCCAGAAGAACCCGAAGGAATTTCATCGGTGCCACCACCTCCAAGAGAAGTTCCACCACCACCAGGAACCCCGGCACCAGCGGCACCAGCAGCACCAGCAGCATCAGCGGGACCAGCGGGACCAGGGCCAGCAGCGTTGGAAATTTCACTTGAACCCAAATTGTTCTGCATTGTAACAGAATTAATTTCTTCACCCGACGCCTCAACGGCAGTAACGGGCAACGTTGACCGCAATGGCGCCGTAATCCCCGGTTTATTACATCCGCTCGACACATGAGACAAACCCGTGCCCAACTCTCCCGACGTCGTACAACCACCCACTGCGTTGCTGTCGACATCCCTCGCATAAACTCCGCCGGCACCGCACCACAGCGCGCAGAGGCCACACACCAGCAGCACACGGCCAGTCATAACCATCGCCATCACTCCTGTCACTCGCGTGTAGCCTTCAGCACAAACTAACTCCCCGTCAACGCAGAGTAAAAGCAAAAAGAGAGACACGTCACACAACCACGCACAGCGACAAATGGCAATGCACACACCAGGAGGTAGTTGAAATCAGTGGAAGGGCAAAAAACGCACGCAGCCCCGCAGCAATTAGTCGGCAAAAAAAAAACAATTAAAAAACACTAATAAACAAACAGCAATAAAGTAAAAAAAAAAAAAGGGAGCTGCACAGCATGGCTCCAGTGCGCATGCATGTGAGTGTGTCCGCGATGCGTTCAACGTGACGGATACAGGGAGCCACAACGCGGAGCACACAGCACGGCAGCGGAGGCAACTAAAGCAAAACACAATCATTATTTTCTCTTACTTTATACATCGGACCACAGTAGACGCGCACAAATCCCCGC